AGGAAGCAGGCACAGCTCCAGCCGTTCTTAAGCCTCGGAACGCGCTCCAGCTTTATGCCAATGCTACGGGGACACGTCCCGTAATCGCCCCGTGAAGTACAGGGGTGGTTTACAAAGGACCAACGCTCGCCGTCTGCAGAGGACAGGTCAGGCAGCTTTGTATGAAGTTTTAAAAAAAAAGCGCAGAGGGATAAAAAGCTGTGGGAGAGGAAGAAAAAGGGAGAGAGTACGCGGAGGGCTTTCGCTCCAACCGCGAGCTCGCGAGGCACAGCCAGCAGGTTCCGGCGGCCCACCGTTTTCTTTTTAAAGTGTCCACAAATGCAAAACCAGCCTAACTCATTCTGTCCCCAGCTCGTTGGCCCGAATCCCAAAACTGAATCCCAACGATTCAATAATTTCTTTTCTACTTTGCTCTTACGTTAAAATTATTCTGCTGAGCGCCCCGCCGCGGGGCATCTGCCGAGCGCTTTGCTTGAGGGCAGCTCACGCAGACCTGGACTACGGACAGTGGCTGATCCAAGGAGGAAAAGAGATGCGATTCCTTGGTTTACATCTATTAGCTCCCCCTTGAATATATTCTGTTTCCTTCCCTCTGTGGAGAAATCCGTCTTTCTTTGTCACACAAGATGAGTCATTTTTGCAGTTTTAATCCCCTCCCAGGAGTCTTACAATAAAACTAAGATGGACTCACTGAAACAATAGTGCCTTTGCAGGAAGAGAACTGTAATTAAGCCATTCCAATATAATCACTAACGTATGTGGGGCTCACTGACTTTGGAGTGAAAAGCCCTCTAACATGCTCCTTCACCAGTTAGAGGACATGGGAACAAAGGGAGGGGCCCACCGGGGCCTGAGGTGCAAGATACCAGGAAAGAGTCGAGAAGAGCAAAGTGACACGCCCAGAACGGTGACACTCTACTGAACTCAGTGGGTCAACCAACATCTGCATCTGTTAAGTACCTGGCACCGCTGTTAGCTGTTTGGGACACATCACTAACAAAAACAAAGATCCCGGCTTTCACGCTGGAGAGGGGAAAAGACAGACAATAAACAATAGACACATGAAGTAAATTATATACCGCAAATTATATAGTAAGGAGATACGGGTTACAGAAAAAGTTGACAAGGGCCAGTAATTACGGGGGGCTGGGGGGGATGGTGACAGTTTGAAGCAG